AGTGGAAATTGTCTTGGGGAGAGGCAATACTTTATGATAACAATGAACCTTTCTGACTTCAGCTGGAATCTTCGAAAAGATTTATGACTTTATGGTACATTGGTTGGTATTTTAGTTCTTCCATATTCCCCCCTCCTCTTACTTTGTAATCATCACTTGCAGGATCACTTGGCATTGATGATGGAGCTTGTAGGAATGATGCCACGCAAGGTAACATCTTAAAAGTGCCTCTGTAATATGAGCCAGCCTGTGAATCATTTTTTTACCACTTCTACAATGAATTTTTGGGTATTGTATGTGTGACTCTTGCCGTTCAAGTTTCTAATAATGTTTCCTCAGATTGCTTTAGGTGGCCGCTATTCCCGGGATTTCTTTAACAGACATGGGGATTTGAGGCACATCCGTAGATTGCGCTTCTGGCCTCTTAATAAGGTGCTTACGGAAAAGTATGATTTTAGCGAACAAGATGCAAATGACATGGCTGACTTCCTCATACCAATACTTGATTTCGTCCCTGAAAAGAGGCCAACTGCAGCTCAATGCCTTAGTCATCCATGGTTCAGAGCGGGGCCACGACTTCTTGAGCCTTTGATGGCTGCAACCGAATCTCAGCGCACTGATGGGAGCGCGTATGAGAAGGAAAGAAAAGAAAAGGATGATAGGGAAGCCATGGAGGTTGGAATAGGGAATATAGCAATTGATGTAGCATCAAAGCCATTGAAAGAGAAAACCTCAAACCTTGAAAACGACTTGATTCCAGAGCGGTGTTGACCCCATGATTTCTTATCAAATTCTTTATTTCTTGCGTGAATAACTTTTGCCAAAACGCTGAATGTGATCATTGTCATCTTTTTCTGATTTTCTTTTATTTGGTTCTTTATGAAAAATGTTTCCTTTCCCCTTGATGCATGGGATCCACAGAGTTTTCTGAAGACACATTCCTGGTGGCCTTTGTTAATTAGCTCAGTTTTGAACGAATCTCTGACAGGTACCCAAATTCCAAATATTGTGGCAAAACCTCCCTTCATGTCATATGCGTCTAATGCATCCCCACAAACCAAAAAGGCTGTCAAAGTTTTTACAGCATTCAAGAATGGCATAAACCCCAAATCCACCCCCTCCCTCAAATAGGTGAGTTGGGATGGATGTACCCTTCAAAAAATTATAAAGGTAAATTTCTTTTCTAAATTATGAATCGAGATAAATTACTTATTTTTTAACGTATAACGTTAAAATTTGATTTACTATATAAATATTTTTCTAATGAAAAATTAATATCACATGTTAAAAATAAGTAATTTATTTCGATTAATAATTTAAAAAATTAATTTATTCCTACATTTTTTCAAGAGACAAATCTATTCCTGCCTACCTATTTAAGGGGGTGGAATTGGGGTTTTGCCGATTTAAGCATAACAATAGCTTGTCAAGTATGAAACAAAGGCAAAGGCAAGTACCGAAGAGTAAGTACTATTATGTATTTCGAAAAGGAAAGATTCTAGCCAAAATAAAATTCATGCAGCCGCAACCTTTGTTTCTGCAATTGGGCCTATCCATACAACAAATACTTCTTGATCAATAAAAATCAAAGCACTCAATAAATTTACATGATCCTCTTAACAAGTTGCGCCTTATGAAACAAATGACATTGCTGCAGGCAGAACCTGCTAAAATACGAGAGGGATCAGGAGTGAGGGCTTGTATTTCAATGTTGTGATTGTACTCCTTGAACAGAAAACCATGAATGCCGCAAACAATCAATTTGTGCTCTTGGAACAGAACCAGAAATTGCCTGAAATAATTAATTTGTGCTCTTTGAGTAAACAAATGATACTGATATATCAACACAAATGCCTGATGATGTGTACTTAAGGAACAGAAGACTTACCTACACCTAGCCATCTCCTAAGTTATAGTATTTTCCTAGCCTTAAGATATGTGTACATAAGGAAAAATGCCACAACAGCACCAAAAATAATCCCCGCTGTTGTTAGCCAAAAAGCAAACTGCATCCCATTGAATAAAACAGTAAATTAATACAAGCAAGGAACAAAATAGCTCACAAGAAACTCAATAGTAAAATAGTAACTGCATTAAATTTTTATAGAAAAACATACCACACGTTCTTCAAGATAGGACTTCAAGTTCATGCCAAATATACCTTTAAACATGAAAGGAAGTCATAAGTTGCTTGCAGTTTTATAAGTTCCAATAACATTAGTCATGTGAAATATTCAGTGAATAATATATCAGATTTACTAAACCATGGTAATAAATGAAGCACTTATCATGAAAGCAGTCCCAGGAGGTAACTAAAACATGCCTAACAGATATTTTCTTACCATATGGAAGGACATACCTGCAACAAGTGCACCGACAGCCACACAAAATGCCCCAACCTGAAGAAGTAATTCCACCCTGCTAACCTCAAGCCGCCGAGCACTGATAAATAAAAGCAGTTCAGTTCCCCTTGATAACTTAAGGAGTATTTATTCAATGATTTACATGTACAGTCAAGATAAACAAACACCAAAATTGACCATACAAGCTTGAGCCATTGGCATAGCAGATGAGGTGGAACTTGGCCTTTTGGGCAACAATTATATGACCTTTAAAAGCAAAGGAAGAATTTGTTTGTTTGTATGTGTGTGTGCATGCGTGCGTGCATGCGAGTGTGTGTAATCGGCTTTTATAAATTTCAGCTCCAATTAAAACAAGAAAGCCAAACTTATAATCTCACTGTCCATGAAGTGGGAAGGAACATCATTCTTGATTTCATGAGGTGTAGTCTTCCAACTATTCAATTTGAAGTCAATTTGACGCAGATATAATAATTAAACGTGCTAAGTAATAAAACTTCTTTTGAAATAATAGTAATTAAAAAAAAAGACTAATCAAACTTCATTTAAACCTTAAATTGACTGCAATAGAATCCTCCATTTCTTTTGCAGAATCAAGTAGCCTTTCTGCCTGACCATGACAAGATTCACATCTGGAAATACGAATAAAAGATTTAAAGTTAACTTTTTCCTCAGAAAAGATAATCTAAGAAAAAGAAAAATTACTTCACTTTTGCAATGTCAAAACAACAGGCAAATTCCAATTTCTGAACTGATCACCTATTATCTTTATCTCTCTCTCTCTCTCTGTTACAAACCAAATTCAATGTGCTTTGTTAATCTGTCCCTAACACATAAAAGTTGAAAATTCAAGAGAGTTTTTGCAGCCCATATATAATTGGCATAAATACTGTAGGTTGTAACATTAACCAAGCTCTTCAAAACTTGATTGTGTAGTATTACCAATATGGTACCAGTAAAAATCCCAAGACATTTTACTTTAAAAAATGCCACACCTATACTGGATGTATATGAGAAAAGGGATTAAGGTAAAACCTTTGAAGATAATTTTCCAGAAGCATCTCAATTTCTTCCTCCTCTTCTGCAAAATGACCAAACCAAACACAATGAGGCTTACGTAACTATATTCAAATGAGTATCTATTACCATTACTGCTCATCACAAATATCGTGGACCGTCGTATAGCTTACCCTCAGCAATCTGCTTTTCTAAGGGAGCAGAACATTCCATGTCATTATTTCCCTTTTTAAGAGAACAATTTCTTCCCATAATGCATATACGCCGAATTTCATGTGGGTCCTCCAAAAGATCAAGTAGCATTTGCCTAAGAGCCCCCGCTCTTGAATCCAATTCAACCTTAAATAATAAAATGAAGAAAAGTAATACCAATACTGAATATCACTATGTATTTTAACTAAAAGAAAGTTCCTATACAGTTAACAGTTAACATACCAAGGTTTGCTTGCTAATTCGAAGTTGCTCCAATATATTACCAGTCAAGCGATTAGGCAAAACTTCAAGCAAAGCTTGAACCTGAGGCAAATGGCAAAGCAATGTTCAAGATCTAGTGTCTTTGTGACTGCTGCTATCAATTTCAAGTTCTCATTGAATTTTCTTCACGTGAAAACCCTTGGTAAAGGACTTACTTTCCTGAAAAATATTTGTATAGTTGCCCAAATGGCTGTAAAAGGGCCAAACAGGGTAGAGCACCTCTTTCTCAAGCTCGCTCATTCTAAAGCTCAATTCAAGCATGTTTGCTAGTTTGAATCCTATTGCATTTAATAAATAAAAGATAATAGGAAGACAAAGATATTATTCCTATTAGATAAACAACAATGTGGCAGCAGTGCATGTGTAGCAATATCTTTGAAATACAAGGCTTCTGGATTGTACCAATAATAGTAATTCACCTACTATGATATACACAAGCATCATATAATTTGCAGGTTCAGCACAAGAACAACTTTATTTCACAATAAAGCTTGTCAAAATAAATAAATAAATAAATAAATAAATGTGCTCACTATGTTTCATAATATACTCACACGAGGTTCTAAATTCATTAGTCTCCGCTCTAACCGCTGTATTCGTGAAAGAAGGGCAGCTTCAACAACCTGAAAGTATCACAGCATTAAGTCTCTCAAAAAGCTGTGATAATTGAAGCATATAGTACTAATGCATCAGAAGAATATAACCTGTCAGAACCATATCAAAGATCCAAGGACCTCCTCTACACTTATTTCAAAGGTTAAAACCCTAATTTGGTCCCTCTACTTTGGCAAAAAGTCCCTTTTTAGTCCCTCTACTTAAAAAGCCCCTTTTTGGTCCCCTAAAGTTTGAAATCTGGCCCCTTGTTAGTCCCTCTGTTAAGTTTTGATGTTGGATGATGGAAATTTCAAAGGAGAGGGACCAAAAAGGGGCTTTTTCCAAAGTAGAGGGACCAAATTAGGACTGTATTCAGCCCCTTTTTAGCCCCTTTTTGGTCCCTCTACTTTGAAATTTCTGTCATCTAACGTGCTACATATGCAAAACTTAATGCAAACCTATTTCAAACTGCACAACTATTGCAAAGGTGAATAGTGTTTGCAATGGACTGAGTAAGCATAGCCTTTCTTTTCATCAGAGGGTGATTGAACAATAATTAAATGGATCATGAATGGCAAGATGATATAGTTGGAGTTAAATTAGACGCAATGAGACATGAACTCATGGATGAAAAAATTTCTACCCTTAAATTTATCCTCGTAGAGCTTCTTTCTGTCCAAGCTCCCTCATAAAATACTACAGCTTCAGACCAGTAAGCCACACAAATCATTCCAGAAAGTAAAAGAAAAAGGATTCCGAATAACAAACTAACCTCAAGTTCAAATGGCATACAATGCCCTCCACTCATGTGTTTGGGGTTCAGTCGTGGCAACAACTCATCCATGAAAGCTTTTCCTCCTTTACTAAAAATTACCAACACATTCAATAATTCAGTAACGTCATTTCACTCCAAAATTATTTGCGACCATAATGTTCCGAAGCAAGATAAAAAACGAAGATAATATCATAATACTCAAAATATTCCAGAAGCAAAGCCTACCGATTATAGTCAAAAATAAGGACGCAGTCCTGCATTGCAATTGCTCGTAATGAACCAAGATTTAGCAGAATTGCATGCTCACGAACCTAGGGTATCAACCAGAAAATAAACCGGTAAAAAAATGACGAAAATTAACCAGTTAAACTAAATGAGAAGCTGCAGATCTGCCTACAACCAGAGTACAAATAGTTAAAATTTAAGAAGTTTCAAAAGAAAGGTACTAAAAACAGACAACTTTGAAAAGTAATGGTGTGTTTCCACACAGAAATACAATGGGAGAGGTACAATTGCAAAAACAAAAAAAATTAATATCTAAATCCAACCATGAGAATAAGGTATACAAGAAAACAATAGAAATAGTGCAAGATGCATATTTATTACCAGCAGAGAGGGCAATGAGTTTGTCAAAAACAAAGATGGATCAACACTCTGGATATCTCTTGGACGAAGACCTGATTAAAAAAAAAAAAAAATCGTCACGACATGCAAAGAAAACACAGCATTCTTGATTGTTCTTTTAAATATCCTCGTCTTTGTGTCTGTGTGTGTTACTGTTTTAACCTCTACATGCATAACATACTAACATTTATGTAGAGTTCAAAATAACCTACATTAAGTAACTAGCCGTTCCCATTTCAGTTCAGCAAATAAGACTGAAATATATAAAAAAGAAGACAACTTGAACATGAACCTATGAAGTCTATGATTTCTCTTAAGCCCCAGCTGAAATATATACAAAAAAAGGCTTTTTTTTTTTGGGGACAAATGTTGTACTCACCACTTAATTTCAGCAACTGACGTCTGTTTATCTTCCTTATAGACACTCTCCCGTCGGATTTTATTTCCACTACCTTGAGGGAGGCAGCATTAACATGAGCAAAATTAGTAAAAGCACCTCAAATGCATTATGCATGCATGATGCAGCACTAAAATGTAAAATCATCTTCCGCCCAAATTCCACCAAAATTGAAAATTCTCAGCAATCAAAAAGAGGAACTTCCAGAATCCAGAGAAGAAAACAAACCTCATAGACCGGCTCGCGAATTCCAAGGGAGAGGGAATCGCTCGACGAGGCCGGAACTCTACGTGTCGCGGCCACGGAACTCTCATGCTGTACTTTCTTATCTT